CCTCCTGAACCCCCAACCTGCCTTGTGCAGGACCTTGGGTCATCCCCTGGATCTTCCTGCTCACTGCCTGGAAGCCAAGACCCAAGGCCTGGAGGAACTGACCTAACTACCTGGTTGCTCTGCACAACACCTCAAAGTCCCATCCCCACTGCCTAAAAGATCGGGCCCACCGCCTAGACACCCCAGCCCCAAGGCCTGGAGGATGACCCTCTGCCACCCCTCCGAACTGTACCAGGGACACCAGTATCAAAAGTAAACTCATTTCATTTCCTCCCCCATCCCAGAGTTTAAACTGCCTTTAGCCCAGAGCACCTTGGATTGGCCTTTCTGCAACAGTTGCCTGGCACATGAGGCTGCAAATTCACAGGTTATATGTCTCTCAAACTCAGATAAGTCTTCCCTTGAGTGAAAAGTTCAGAAAGAAACTGAGGCACTGTAGCTTCCCCATCCTCTTCTGTATCAGTGACTTCCTGACCCAAGGCCTTCAGACCAAATGCCTCCTAAAGCCTCAGGCATGAAAAACTTCACCACAGCAATGTCACAGAAGAAGCAAACAACCACATAGCCTACAGAAACCCAAACAAGATGTAAATCCCTCAAAATTGACAGTATTAATGGATTTCCTAAAGCCAAAAAGTCTGATGAAACTATCTGATACAGAATTTAAAAGAACAATGATTGAATATTTTCAATGGGTGAGAGACAAACTTGAAGAATTACAGGACACTGCAAGTCAAAACCAAGAGAAATTTAAAAAAAAAATTCCAAGACAATGCTGATAAAACAAATGAAGCATTAGAGGCTCTGAAAAAAACAAGAAACCATAATCCAGAATATGAGGACCTATGTTTCAAATTCTGTCAACATATTGGAGGCACATATGAACAGAGTTGAAAAAATATAACACAGAATCAATTAAACAGAAGATAAAATTTTCACCACTGATCCGTTAGAACAAAAAGCAGAATCGAAAAGAAAAGAAGAAAAGGAAAGGAAAGGAAAGGAAAGGAAAGGAAAGGAAAGGAAAGGAAAGGAAAGGAAAGGAAAGGAAAGGAAAGGAAAGGAAAGGAAAGGA